GAAAAATGGGGAAAGTTGGGGGAAAATGGGTTGGCAGAGAAGAATCAGGGTGGGATTGGGGGAAAATTCAGAAAAACAGGGTGGGAAATGAGGTGGGAATGGGAAAAATGGGGTGAGAAAATGAGGAAATGGGGGAAAAGCAAGGGGGTGAAAGGAGGGAAAAAGCAGGGGAGGGGGGAAATGGGACGGAGGGGTGGGAACGGGGGTCCCCAGCCCCCCCAAAGCCCCCTGCCCACCTTCTCCACGTAGTAGCCAGTGCCAACGTCCACCAGGACCGTCCTGACGTCCTGCAGCTTGCCTGGCACGTACATCTGGGGGGGTCATGGAAAACGGGGGGACACGGGGGGCACCCACCCCCCCCGCGGGGGTCCGGGGGTCCCGGGAGCGGCAAAAGGATACGGAGCTGGTGAGGGGCACCAGGAGATCCTTCCCTGAGGAAAGAGGGGGTCAGGATACCCCAAAAAACACCCCCAAAGCCCCTCCAGGGTCTGCTTGGGTTGGGGGATCCACACTGGGGTTTGGGGTTTAGGGGTCAGCCCTGGGTTTGGGGGTCCCCATCGGGGTTTGGGGATCCCCATCAGGATTTGGGGTTTAGGGGTCACCCCTGGGTTTGGGGGTCCCCATCGAGGTTTGGGGATCCCCATTAGGATTTGGGGTCTCCATCAGGATTTGGGATTTAGGGGTCACCCACCCCTGGGTTTGGGGGTCCCCATCGGGGTTTTGGGGCTCCCCCATCGGGATTTGGGGTTTAGGAACCAACCCTGGGTTTTGGGGATCCCCATTAGGATCTGGGGTTCCCTCATTAGGATTTGGGGATCCCCACTGGGGTTTGGGGTTTAGGAACCAACCCTGGTTTTGGGGGTCCCCATCTGGATTTGGGGTTTAGGGATCACCCCTGGTTTTGGGGACCCCCACTGGGGTTTGGGGTTTAGGAGCCAGCCCTGGTTTTGGGGGTCCCCATCAGGATCTGGGGTTCCCTCATCAGGATTTGGGGCTCCCTCATTAGGATTTGGGAACTCCCCCGACTCCCTTGAGGTTTGGGGACCCCCTTTGAGTTTGGGGACCCCTCACTAAGATTTGGGGACCCTCCCCATGCTGGGGACCCCCCTCAGGTTTGAGGCACCCCCTCAGAGTTTGCCCAAACCCCCCCTCAGGATTTAGGGATCCCATCAAGATTTGGGGACCCTCCCCAGCTTTTAAACCCTCCCTCAGGTTTTGGGGGATCCCCCCATAATTCAGGACCCCCCCCATTAATACTCGGGGACCCCTCTGGGATTTTGGGGACCCCCCTGAGGATTTGAGACCCCCCCCAATCCAAATTTGTGCTCCCAATTCACAGCATTTACCCCTCCCCATCACAATTTAGGCACTCCCCACCGATTTCAAAGCCCCGGATCCAGACTTGGGGACCCCCCCCTGGATTTCGGGGACCCCCCCCCCCCCCGGGGGGGGTTGGGGGG